CTCGCTCTTGCTCAGGCTGGTCTCAAATTCCTGACCTCAAGCAATCCTCCTGCCTTGGCCTCCCAGAGTGCTAGGATTACAGGCATGAGCCTCTGCACCCAGCCCTTGCTCTGGGTGGTTTAACTACTCAAACCTCTCTCTGTTCAGGTCTGAACAGGCTCATCATGAACTGGATCAATGAAAGAAAAGTTCTGACCCACAGTGGATTGGCTTCCTTTATTACAATGACACAGCTTCACTTTAGAAACATCCCCAGGCTGGAAGGAGAGGGTCTCAAAGGAGAAGCTGTGAGGTGTAAAAGTGACAGGCAGCACGGCATAAACCAGCATCTCGCAGCTCCTGTCGCAGGAGATACGAACGCCGTATTTGGGCCCAATCCCAGAACCATCAGTGGGAAAGGCCTTGGCAGCCATGGCGCCTGTTCCTGTTTGGAGAAATTTTGCTGTTCAAATGCCGCTCTGAGGAACTGAAGAAGTGGCCCAGGGTAGGGTTAAAAGTGGGCACAAACAAGTTTGATTCAGCAGGACGGTTACCAGATAAAACAGATATTCAGATAATACTCAAATACTCAAATATTCAAATACCAGTTCAGATAAACAACAAATAATTTTTTATTGTAAGTACGTTTATCTGAAATTCAGATTTCACTAGGTGGCCTGTATTTTTTACCTGCTAAATCTGGCAGCCCTACTCAGACCATCAGGAAAGGTTTCGCAGGGGCAGGAGGTTTAGCCGTGAAAGGTAGAAGAAGACAGACATAAGCAAAGAGAAGGGAGAACTGGCCGGACACGCGGAGAAGGACCTGGAGCATTTGTACAGGTGGGGACGTGTCCTGCACTTAAACTGTGAGCAGTAAGGAGCGCAGAAGGCCTTCAAGCAGGGAGGCCATTGGGCTAGGGTCGATGTTGGGAAGATCTCTGCTGCATTGCGTGTCGGGCAGAAGTGAGAGGAAGCAGAGAGCTCAGTCGCAAGCCCCTGCACTGGGCCAGGTGGCAGCAGAAAGGCTCTCACTGGCTTTGGGGCGGCAGGATTGGAAATGCTGCTAGAGAGTGAGGGTGCAGAGAGATTTTCCAGAGAGGGATGTCTGGGCAGACGCAGCAGCCTTAACCGCGGTGCTGTCAAAGCACATTAACACATTTTGCTAGCAGTTTACCCTTTCGTTTTCCTGAGAAGCCCTTCTGTTTGTAAGAACTGACTCAATATGATTAACCTCTGTCTACCTCCTCCAACAATACACTTCCACGCTTAGGATCCCCTTGGTAAGTGGGACCTTAAAGAGGGCCCGGTCCAAAGCTGGGGTTTCCCGCTTAGCCCTGTGTGAACTAGTGCTCTACTGCATCAAAGCTCCTTCACATTCCGAGCTTGTGGGGCCTCACCACCCTCCCTGAGCTCATTCTCTCTACTTTCAGAGCAGGTCCAGAGAAATGAACAGGTGGTGCCTGGTTCCGTGGCCATCAGGGCCAGAGCCGGAACTGGAGCTAGGCCCCCACTCCCAGCCTGTTTCCCACTGCAGCATGAGGAGCACCTTGGACAGTCTTGCAAAGAGCCAGCAGCACCCGTTTGACCCTCTCAATCACTCTATAGTAGAGGGAGGGCAGGTCTCATGATTCCCATTTCCATGGGGAGAGACTGAGAAGTCCCTGCAGGCCCATGTCCCTGACAAGCCCCTGTGAGCATCTGGCTCTTGGGTTAGGGTTCGTTTCCCCTGCACAGCCCCGTTCCCCTTT